TGAATGTTAAGGGCAGGAGTACCAGATTAAAATGGCTCTATGCAGAAGCAGCAAAGAGAGGTACAGTGCCTGCAGGTGGCAAAAAGCCTGGTTTGAAGACATTAGGAGGACTGCTAGGACCGCAATGGGGACAAGGGCAATGTCGAATACAGGTAAGGAGACTAGCCAGTGTCAAATCACCTGTAAAATGAGCTAACATTTAATTATGCAAACAGGAAATGGGAACAGGTCCCAAAACATGCAAATCTGCAGGGTAAGCACAACCCACAAATTCTCTTTCATAAAGGAGTTTTTAGCTAACATACAAAATGGGCTTTCAAATCAACTGTTATTTCATAGGACCACAGGTGAGTGTTAATAATTGGAGCAATCTTGTGGGATCCAAATTCAATGAACTGATCCTGCCAAGTGCCATGTTATGAAGATACGCGCTAAAGGAAGATGCATGTAATAAACTTTTAAAATGTTCTCTCTTAAAAGTCTGTGTCCAACCTTAAGGCGAAAACAGACACACAACCCTCGTCCTAAAGTTTCCATCCCATCATCTTCAGTCAGTGCAAGTGGTTCCTCCCAAACATGACAGTTGGATTCTGGTGCCAAGTTGGGTAAAATGAGGGAATACAGAATCCAAAAATTGTTACCAATGTGCTTTGTTTGGCTCTCAGGGTTAAGAAAACAGTGAGCCAACACTTAAAAGTCAGATTTCAAAGAAAAATCTGGAAGTCTTGGTTCCTCTTGGAAAAGGTCTGAAGTGCTGATAATAATGGGACCGCTGGCAGCAGTCAGCTGGAATGGAACACTAGTGCCTCCCCCCACAAGCCCCTCTGCTTTGTCATTACTGAGGCTGATTAAGAGAAGTCCCACAAAGCACTGCTGCTCAAACTTGGCTGTGAAAGAGAACCCTGTGGGGAGCCTGTGAAAATGCAAGTTCTGATTGAGTAGGTGGGGGTGTGGCCTGAAACTCATTTCTGAAAAGCAGGTGCTGCTGGTCCTTCAGCCATACTCTAAATACAAAGGCTAGAACTGACTTATCAATAAAATAAACACACACACACTAAAGGAAATAAAAAAGCAAACAATCTTTATTTAATAATCTTAGATATTTAAAATACAGCTCATTGAACATCCACATTAACAAGGGACTCCCAGGTGTTCAACAGCGCTTCGGAAGCCCGGCTTTTGGAGGGACTGGATGGGAAGGCCTGTGCGTGGTAATGCGAGGAGCACACACAGTAGAGCTGAGAGGTGGGCCCTGAGCGAACGGCACTGCCACAGTGTACCTGTATCCTGGCCAATTGCAATGCTTTTCATTTCAGATCTTTTGTACTTGAATTCCAAACAGTTAGTTTATTTTTACAGAACAATGATGTTTTAAAAAGTTATTCCTAATAGTCCAGTGTTGTAGAAATTAGATAATCACATTTCAAATGTATACTTTCCTCTTTCAGAAAAAAGAAAAAAAAATAATAAAGTATTAAAATATTCCTGGAAACATTCAGCTCTGAACTATGCAAGAGACAACTGAAGTTCTTCCTAAGCAAATCAGGTCTTCACAGATGTTTCACTGATGCCCCCTACTGCTTTGTCTATGAATCCAGTCTTAATATTTATTGAGATCCACTAGTATTAACGGAATCTATCAATTATTGTGAATCGAGAAGTGATGCAACTAGCACTACTTCTCCAAATGCCAGACATTGTGGAAAAAATTTAAATAGCAAAGATTTTTTTCAAATGAAAAAAAAAAAAAATCAAAATTCAAATGAACCCACTACGTCAATAACCTCTTCATTCATGAAAGCAGAACAGAACAAAAAAAATTTTGCTACATGTAAGATTTTAAAAGGCAATAAAAAGCCAGTTACTTTCTTTAACATAAAATGCTGGTTAAAATGGACCTAGGGATGAAGGCAAGATTTTATTCTAGAAACATGGGAAATGCTCACTTACAGTGCTGAACTGACTAGTTGGTCCAGTCTGATTTTTCTTAATTAAGGTCCCATATAGCAAATATCCATACTTAGGGCCCAGGTATAAAAACCAATTTACTTTGTCCAATGGGTCAATTTTAAGGCATTTAAGTAAACCTTGGCATTAGCATTTAAAAAACAAGGATCAAAGACACAGAGATTAAAAATGTGATTTAGGCTCTGACTGGAATAAAAATTACTTTATACAGCTTAATATTAACTGAAACAACATACACAATTATTTTGCCTATCATGATACTCAACTAGTTGTGAACTTTTTTCTCATTAAATTTACCACATATTTGGCATCACAAATAAAGCCTTAATTAAGAAAAATCAAGTTTTAAAGAAACTAAAGCACCTTCTTAAATAATCGGTGAATGGTAAATTATTTGGCCAACATCGTAGAATTTAAATACATAACGTTTTCCACAGCAACCTTTTCAAATAATTTAACTACTGAAATATTCCTGTTAATCACCATAAAACATGTATGTTGATGGTTTTAGATCAGAAGAACTCTGTATTGTTAAAACATAAATAATTACTTATTAAATCCAGAACATCTGAAAATATGAAAGTGGTATTTCCAAAGCTTGTTCAAACTCTACTTATAACATTAGCATATTAATACAAATTATACATTAGAAAAATGATACCGATAGTTTAAATATTAAACATTAAGGTTTTCCCAATTGGTAAAACCAAATGGGAAGCCTTATAAAGTTCTTAGCAGGGCAGTTAATGCGAATTGACTTGTTTCTGACTTTCTTGCAGGTGTTTTACCATAAATGGTAGTCCCTGATATGGTAATTGGAACTTTGTATAACTTTCTAATTTTCTGATACTGTGGTTATGGGCTCTAGCATCTCTTCATATCATTCAATCAATTAATAAATGAAATCTAAATAACCCATTCCAAACAAGATGAGAAGTCACTAGTGATTCAGGATCCACCATCCAAACCTAACAATTTCTAAACAAACAAAACAAACACATTCAATCATATCCAGTGTGTGCTCAACTTTGTTTAAAAAATCCCTAACAAGTTAAGGCCGAATGCCCCATTTTCCTAAGTGCTTTAATTAAGGTGTGTGAAATTACTAGGTAATACTATGAACTTGATAAATTCTAATTAAGGTTAAAACTTTTATGCATATTGGTTTTCATATTAATATATTAGGTAGCTAGCTCATCAATTCAAGTGTACGCAGAGTTTGCTATAACTTTTCAATGGGAGAAGGTAAAGGCCAACTATCCATGGACCATATGAGTGCATTGTGGGATAATTACAGAAATGTTCTGGTTTGTAAATCTTGAGGGAATGGTGCTAACCTTCAACATCCCTTGCGGTTCTAATATTATAATCCTCTGAAACATTTTCAGTTGTTAAAAGAAAACACTCGATTTTAAAACAGGACTATTTTTTTTTTTTCTTTTTTTTGTAAAGGAAACTTAAGAAAACTTTATTTGGCACAAAATAATGACTTAAAAAAAAAAAAAACTCTCTCCAAAAAAGCTATTCCATAATCATAAATAAAAGGCATCTTCTCAGCTCTTTTTAGTTAGCAATAAAATCTCAGATCAAACAATTTCCCTGATATGTGCAGCCACCTACCAGCACAGTAGCAATGCGGTATTTCTAAGTTGTCAAATGACTTCTTGATTTCTAGCCTGTGAACCATCCAACGCTCAAGAGAGTTGTGAAAGGGGTAGAAAATGGGGGGGGGGGGCAGACTCCAGAATCTAAATGCCCGTTTCAGAAAGCTCATCTATTTTCACCAGAATTAAACCACTCTACTGACCCAGCCAGCAAGAAACTCTCTGCTAATCCCTATTAAAGACTGTTTAGCAAAACTAAGGACTTTCTTATTTACAGACCCATTAAGCTCTCCAAGACTTCTATAATTCTTAAGCTATTTAAACATGATGGAAATGGAAAATTACAGTATAAATTTAAATGTATTCTCACTAGTAGATTATGTTCATGGTCCAGATCACGCCTGGCAAGCCATTCCTATGAAAAGATGGGCAGGCACATTCCGTATGACTCAACTGGGAACAGAGCAGAAGGTTCTAGTCACAAGAGAAAAAAGAAAACTGCTACTAAAATGAAGGCCCATTTTTTCCTCCCATACATTCATGGTAAGTATCCTATGTTCTCTTATACCAAAAGGACATTTGCTTGCATACTATGCTTCCTCTATTTTTCTCAACAGAAGAAAGGAAATAAGGTGCAGGAGAGAGGGGTTACAGCAAAGCTGTAAAGTTGTAACATTCATACAGCATCTGGGAAAGCATGTGTTCACATGTAAAACAATGTTCACTTATTCTCAGGCATTTATGCAGGCTGATTTCAGAGTCTGGAAATGCACCAGAGTCATGAAATAATGATCCCATCTTGGAGGGAGGGAGGGAAGGAGGAGAGGGAGAGAGCGAACCAGGTAGCAGAGAAATCCTGATCAGAGCCAGTATGAGGGAGAACAGCCACATGCACAATGGTTACAGGGAGAATGAACTGCCCCTGGAACTGTGACTGTCATCGACAGAGACAAGACTTTCCCAAAAGGTCAATCTGGTTCATGAGAAATAATAGCAACCACTTGGATGGTCAAATTGCATCGATACCCACAGAAAAGACAGAAAAATACAATACAAAAATGTATGGAAAAAAGTTCTATGGCAAGAGCAAATTAGCTGGTCCGCAAAAAGATCCAAAAAAAAAATGTCCAAATTCGAGACATGCGAGCTACTGCACAATCAAAACAGAAAAAGGAAAATTTGGAAAACTATTTTAAATGTTTTTAATTGCTGATTTCCCCTTTGGCTGGTGTGTGGAGGATCATTATTTGGTCCTACAACTGATGCATTTCCCACTTTGTCATCATTTTGCTTGCAAACCACCCTCCCAGTCTTACTTCTCTGCTATACTTTGTTCTCGTTGATCAATTACTGAAAAGAACCCTATGTTGTAATCACACAGGTAAAGTTGGAAAGTATAAATATCTAAATGATTCTTAAAAGGCATTGTTATTTTTCTCCTTCTGTTTTCAAATTATTTCTAACAGTTTCTAAAGACATGGTCACAGCTGCCTGAAGCATGTCTTCTTCGCTCATGGCATCACCTGTTGGGAAAAACACGATGCTTAGAAATTTCTGGAAAATTCTCAAAATCATTAAAAGGTAAGTTCCTAGAAATATGTGTCTACTGGAACACTACGAAGGAGCTCTTGTGACATACTGCCTAAGGCATCTGACTCCTAACCAGAAGGTTGGTGGTTCAAACTCATCGCTACTCCACAGAAGGATGAGGGCTCAATCTAATTCAGAAAAGATTTACTGCCTTAGAAACCCAATGGGGGTTGCTGTGAGTCGGAATCAACTGGATGGCAGGCAGGGAGTTTTTGTTTTGTTTTG